CTGTTGTTCAGCATCTTAGCTGTAGAGGGCAGTGTCACTGGCCCTCATATGTGGGATCCGAACCGGGGCCCTCTGGCATCCCAAGCAAGTTCTTAACCATCGCGCCACGCGGCCGGCCCTATACTTAGTTTTTGAGGTTTTGCACAGAGGTAACTAACCCACCATCCCAGCCAACAGGTGCCAAAGCAGGAGGATATTAAAAGCACCAGTGAGAAGCAATTTGCAATGTATGAGAGAAAACTCAAAGCAGAGACATTTTAAAAGTTGAACGGGCTGAGACGCAAAACTCTCAGACGTTTCAGAAACGTGCCCCAGCCGGAATGGTTCTGAAAGTCTGTGAGTCCATTACAAGGACATAAGAAGAGCTCTGAATGTGCAGTTAGGGACAGGTGAAAATGGAAATGCTTCTTAGCAGGGCACAGCATCACCGCGCCCTCGCCCAGTGTTAATTCAGGAGGGGGCTGAGCGCGGGTATTGAGCAGGGTTTCTCAGCCTCGACACCACCGGCATTTTGGGCTAGCTTAGTCTGCTGTGGGACTGTCCTGTGCATTGTAGGATGTTTAGCACCCTCCCCCTCAGCTGTGACAACCAAAAATGTCCCCAGACATTGCCAAATGTCCCCTGGGGCACAAACCACCCCAGTTGAGGACCACTGGCTTAGAGGTTGAGCTCTGTGATGATGCCATGGGTCCCTGGAGCTAGGGTGGGCTCAGCATCATGAAGGCCCACCTCACGGCCACAAATGAGGCCCTTTCTTCTCGGGGCCATCGCCACAACAGAACGGCAATTACTGCCTCAGCCAATTTTCAACACTGATGAATCTGGTGTATTTCAGTGGGGGTGGCGGGGGGCAAGGTCCCTGATAGAGCCTGTTTCGGCAAGGAGAAGGACGGCTTGGTTTTAAAGCCTCCGGGCTGACCAGTAAAAATACATCCCAGAACTCAGCAGGATGCAGCTAAGGCCTCCAGACTCCTGTTCTGTGTTCTGCCCCTGCGCCACGGCACACAGTGTTGTGTGCACCCAACCAGGTACAAGGGATCCCGGGGCGGGTGCGTGTGCAGGCTGCAGGGCGGAGCATCAGAAGCAGGCGGTCGAGGCAGAGGGAGCACCCAGGAAACCCTCATACAATGGGTGGGAGGCAAAAAGGGTGTCCACAGAGGCGTGAAGGCTGGAACAGGCCTGTAAGACAGGCGGGGAGACCACTGAGGGAGCAGGGCCCTGGGCCCCAGCCCCTGGAAGGCACCATTCCCAGCAGAAATCACATTTTCAATTTCTTGTCTGAGCCTCCAAACAGAAACATCTGTGGCCCAGCCCCAGGCCCTGGTTATGAGTTCTTTCCTCTGTCTCTGGACTGTTGACAGCTGTTTCATTTTTCTCCCACTCTAGCTCGGCTGGAAGGTTGAGGAGCGGTCACTGTGTGTGTCATGTTGGGAAATGACCGTAAGTGAGCCTGTTTTTGCCGAGATGGTTAGAGAACAGCCGGAGGATGAGGGCAGGAGACAGGCCCCACATTCCTGACACAAGCGAAGGTAACAGGAGATGCTCCAAGACAGAGACATGCGTCACACCAAACAGTGGAGATGGCACAGGACCCGGGGACCGCTCGACTTAGGATGCTCTTCTCCAAAGGCAAAGCCCGCAGTCGGGTCTTGTGCAATGTCGCCATGGCAACAAAACCAGGTGGCGGGAAGTCACACTGTCCGCTCAGTGACCTTCTACAGGGACAACGAGGACCTACGCTTCAGGGCCCGTGCTGCTTGTGACCTGAGGTGTGGCCTGGGGCATAGACCTCTACTCTGGAGAGCACCGTCTGTAACAGGAAGGGACATGCACGGTGGTGACCAAGGATCTTTCTGTGGGTCCAAGCGAGCGTTCGGCTGTACCTCAGCAGGTGTTTTGAGTCAGACTGGCCTTAGAAATGACCTGAGCTCGGGCCGTGGCACCACACGTGTCCCCTTCCCGTCAAGGCCGGGGCTTCCTATAGGAGCAGGCCTTATCCCGCACAAGGCAGAGCCCCGATGCAGCGAGTCCTCACTGACCTTGAGGCCACTTTCCCAAGTTTTTCCCTTTGGGCTGTTTGAGAATCTGGGATGAAAACAAACTCAAAGCCTTTGTAATCCAAGCCCCTTGGAACACGCTGGGCCTGCTGTTTCCCATTACAGCGGTATGTTATCTGATGGGGACGGAGGGGAAAACCCAGCGGTCCCATTCTTCACCCGCCCACTCCGCTTTTCTGGGAATCACGTTGGGAAAAGCCGCACTGTGTTCACTGCCCAGGTGGACCCACACAGCGGAGCAAGTGATGGGAAAGTGACGCAGGCAGGCAGCTGGTTTCAGAAAAGTCCTGAAGAAGAGGATGGAGCACTCGTGCCTGGAGGGCAGGGGGTGGGCAGCCGCGGGGCCAGGAAGGCAGGACCCCTGGCCCTGTGTGTTGCAGCGGCCAGAGATGGGAGGGTCAGCCCCTCACTTCACACCTGGTCATCTGAGCACACAGGGCGGCCAGGGAGGGGGAGGCACCTCTCTCATCAGGCACGGGGACAGCGGTTCTCAATGTGGGCCTGGGGCAGACAGCACCACAGCACCTGGGAACTCCTCGGGAATGCAGATTCTTGGGCCCCACCCCAGACCTACTGAGCCAGAGCCCCCGGGGGTGGGACCCGGTGATCTGTGTTTCACCGCGCCCCCCAGGGGATGCCTGTGGAAGCGCCAAGGACCACGCTCTAGGGCAAACCTTCCCAGCGGGTGAGCTGAGCTGGATATTGGTGTGCCAGGACATCGGTCGCTCAGGCATCGGGAGCTGGGCGGGGTCTGGGCCAACCAGGGTCCCCAGGCCAGCGGTCCCTAACCCTGCGTGCTGCACAAGTAGGATGCCTTCCTATCTGTGACAAGGACTGGGAAGCACTGTTGGAGATGCCGGGGGCCCAAGCTCCTCCTGCAACAGGTGAGGGGAGAGCGCGCGAGGCGGACACTCAGCCTGGACCAGGCAGGGGCTCCGCCTCCGGTGCACGCGGCCTCTGCAGCCTGCACACTGTTCCACATGCCATGATTTCTCTGTCTCGTTTCATGGCACATGGCCAGGGGTGCTGCAGGGAGGTAGGTCCTGGGAGCAGGGGACCGCTGACAGGAGGGGAAGACGTGCTCCAGGCCCACACTCACACTCAGATGTCTCTGGGCTGAGCTCCCTGACAGAACAGAGCAACGAGTCATTTTCAAGTGCTTTCCAGTTAGGGCTGAGCCCAAGAAGTCTGATCCTCGGCCCATGGGAGGTGCTTGGTGAGGCAGGCAGTGGAACCATTCTTAGGGAAAAAGGAGTTACTCAGATGGGGCAGCTGGAGAGGCTCAGGGTGGTGGGCCGCCCCTGGGAGGGGTGCAGAGGCAGCCGTACCTTCAGTGAGCGGCCTCAAGGGTCTGCAGCGGGGCGGGGCCTGTGCCCAGGGTGTGGTTCCGAGCCCGCTTGGCAGGCCCACCTGCAGGAAGGGTGGCCTGTGGCCTCCCACCCCGGCCTGTAGAAGGTGCCAAGGCTGGTGTCACCTCCTTTCCCCGCGGCTGCCCTTCTCTCATCACTCTGAATGAGTGGCCCTTTGTACATGAAAGCAAAGCGACTTGCATGTGCCTTTAATCCTCCTGACGAAAGAAACGCCGGCACATGACCCCACAGGAATGCTTCGTCCTGGCCCGGTGGGCGGGCGGGTGGGCGGGGGAGCAGATGGACCACTGGAGAGGGTGTCTTGACATCTCCCGTGTCCCTCCCGGGTGTTCCCACTGCGTACATGGCATCCTTTTTCTCTCTGCAGCTCCATTCAAGGGCCTCAGCCATCAGCCACGTTCCTCCACCCCAATCCTGATTATTTCACAAACAGGGCCATGGAGTTTCTGCCTGGCATCACACTGAGTCATGAGTGGCTGAGACAACAACAAGAGCAGCTTGCAGAGCGCTTGGTAACGTCCCGGGCACCCTTCAGGAGCCTGGAAGCCAGGCACTGCCATTATCCCCATTTTACAGATGACAGAGTGAGGTACAGAGAGGCGAGAGCCCAGTGGCTCACAGCCAGAAAGAGGCAAGGCCAGGGTCCACACCCTGGCAGCCTGGCTGCAGAGCCCACGCTCAGCATGCCTGCAGGTTGTACTGCTCCCCCAGAGAAGGCACTGGAATTCAGGACCCCCCGCTCCCTGCACCCCGAGGCCTCCACATCACTACCCAAAGGCTCTGTGAAGGGCCCGCCTGAGCCTGGGATCACCCCCCAGTGTCAACTCCACAGCTCTCCAGAGGGTGCCCCAGCCCTGGGGCCCCACCGGAGAACTCATGAGTGAAGTGATGCGTGAATCCCCCCATAGTCCGGGTAACCCCTTCCCCCGGCCTGAACCTCAGCCTCCTCTCAAATACTGAGGGGCTAGATTAGAAGAGCCAAGGACCCCCCCCCCCGCCTCTGGGGCTAGGGGCCACCTCTGCTCAGTGTTCAGAGGGCCCGGCCCACACCAGCAGAAAGATGGAGGACGCTCCTACCAAGCAAGAGGGTGCCACTGCTGCGGAGAGCCACCTGCGAGCTACACCCAGGCTGGGCCAGGCCCTCCCACCTTCCTGTCCTGCTCAAGACCCCCCACCCCTAGGTAACCTGTCCTTCCCCCTTTGACCCTAACAGCACTCACCACCCTGGGTGGCTGCTGCCTTGAGTGAGGAGGGGCCTCACCCCTCATTCAAGAGGTACGCACTCACCCCCACCCCTGCCACAGGGATGTCTTCAGTAGCTGTCTGAAGACACATGACCCCACAAATCACACTTTCCCACTCGGGCCATGGTGACCACAAGGCGCTACACATGAACAAGCTTCGAGCGCTGTGCCTTCCCAGTCTGCAGGGGTCCTGCCACACCACAGCCCCTGAGTCGGGGCGTCCCCCTTCCTTCAGGCCACACCACCCCCACCACCGCACTCCCGGCCACTCAGGTGAGGTTCTACTGCCAGAGTGGGTCCGACTCACTTGGTCCTGATGCAGAGCTCGAGGGGTGGGATGAGGTCATTGTCTCCGTCCTCAGGGACAGTCTGGGTGGTGTCTGGGGGGGGGCAAGAGAGAGGCCCACGCTCAGCCCAGGGCCCGAGCTCACCGTGAGGTTGGCACTGACAACCCAACTCCGGGGACCTGCCTCTTCAGGCACCTATACCTCTTCTCATCTCAACTGGACCGCCCTGTTCCTGCCCATCAGCTCTCACATGGACACCACCGCACCCTCCTCGTGGGCCTCCCACCTCCAGTCTCCACCCCACCCTCCTGCTACCAGGATAATTCTTTCCAAAAAACACATCTGATCCCATCACTCCCCTGCTCCAAAACCTCGCGGGTCTCCCCAGTGCCTGGAGAATAAAACCCAAACTTCTCGGCAAGGTGTTCTGGGCTCTCTAATACATGGTCTCAACCTCACCCTACACCCTTAATGCCATCCATTTCGCAAGGCACAGCTCTGGCGCCCTCCCGCAGGAGGACCCGCTAGCACTCGCCCTCTGGCCCCCCAGTCCTGACATTCAGGGGAGGCTGTGTTGCTCTCTGGCTTCCCTGACCAGTGGGTCTGGGGGCTCCCCAAGGCTGCACGGGGTGGAGGGCAGGCGTCGCACCGATGGTCAGCCGGATCTGCTCCTGCTGGTTGGCCAGGCCGTCGTAGTAGTACAGGTCGAAGAGCCTCTCGGCCCTCCAGTCTCGCAGGAGCTCGGGCTGCACGCTGAAGAGGACGCTGAAGTGGCTCTCGCTGCACACCACCCAGATGGGCAGCCTGGGGGTCTTCAGGAAGCAGCCAACCTGGGTGAGGGAGAGGGGGCAGAGATGCTGACGGGCCCTGCTGTCCCTGGGGAAAAGGGGCCAGAGCATCTGCTGCCCATCCCCACGGCCAGGCTGACCTCAGAGAGGCCCTATTGGGGACCACAGCCTGCGTGTGATGCTGGGGGCCCCTCGCGCTGCTCACAGAGGCAGGCCTGTCTCCCAGAGCCGTCCCTGCTGGCTCAGCTGCTGCTCGCAGGGCCTTGGCCTCACCGACAGTCACAGAGAGAGCTACCCCGGCCTGAAACACAGACGCCCTCTCCCCTTCTCCTCCAATCCAGCTGGTCCGCGGTACTGCCCAGCCTGCCTCCAAAAGCTCCCCCATGCCAGCCTCTCCTCGTCGGGCGATGGCCTCCCTTTCACACCCTCCTCCCCTCCACAACCCACACTCCAATGGAACCTCCTCAAACTAACCCAGCATGACAATCCTCCGTGCCTGTGCATCCACTGTCTGCAGTCTAGAGCTGGTACACCTCTCCTCTCTCCTCTCCTGAGGGTCCTGGACCACCCGAATCATCCAATCAGGGGCATGAATCACCTCCTTCTAGCTCCTGCTTGGGGAGTACTCGATACTAGGTACTCGGTACTCAGTACTAGCGCAGGGCATCACTGCCTCACAGTGATGCATCTGTCTGCCTGCCAGCAAGCTGGACTATACCCTTAGCACCAAGAGCAGCGGGTGTGAGTCAACACAAGCAAATGCCTGGCGAATGAAGGCCCTTGTGAGTGAGGTGGAACTGGAACTAGGTAGGACTTGACCTTGAGGAGGTGGGACTCGGAACCACGGGGAGCAGGGAAGGAGGGCCTCTGGGTGAGCCGTCTGTGGTGATGCCAGGAACCCATGTCCAGAGACATTGGGAGACTGTTGGGGCCTTCAGGAAAGAGAGCAGGGGAAGGGGAGGGCGGGAGCAGAGGCTTCCACCTGAAGAGGGACGCCCTCCGAAAGTCCCAGCAGCGGACATTCATGGTAGAGGAGCGCTAGGGAAGGCAGAGGCTGTGGCACGTGCACCGGGGCCCTTGGCCCCACTGCTGTTCTTCTTGCCGAGGGGAGTTGGATGCCGGGCTGTCTCTGCCCTCAGGGCCACCAGCCCTCTACGCGCTCTCTCCCTGTTGCCTGTGACTCCCGCAGGTAGTGCCTCTCCCCACCGGGGCCCTGGTTTATTCAGCTCTGTCCATTCGTGCCATTAGGCTGGGCTGGGCTGGTTCTAGCCTAAATCCCCACCAGCCCCGGGAGATGTTTGCTTGCTCAGGTATTTACAGCCGCAGCCTGTGGATTAAGGAAAGAATGGGAATTATTTTTCCAGTGGGGAGAAGGGCATGCTTTCTCCAGGGCCCGTCACAGAAGAGTGGCCGGGCAGTGTTCCTCGGGCCCCTCGGAGCCTTACTGAAAGCTGACTCAGGGCTGGGGTGTCTGGAACAGAGGGGCTGTGCTCAGGAGGCCCGGAACCAGGTCCCTGGCCGAAGACTTGCCCGCCAACAGTAACTTCCTCCAGAGGGTGGGAGGGCGACCTTTACAATGTGTTCATTTTCTCTTTGTCCAAGCGCCCTGCCCCCACCTGGCCAGTCGGGCCCTCACTCCAGTCCCGTGTGACATTTAAACGTGACGGCAGAGCTCAATCCTCGGTGGGATGTGGAGGAATTAAATGTCTTAAAGGACGTGGCTGGACGTGCCTAAACCCCACTGCAAACTTGGCTTCTGTTCCAGGCTCAAAAGAGGCTTTCCTGACGAGGGCACCGCCTCGAACAGGGAGCCCTGAAGACTGGGGACCCAGTGCTCATTCACTGCAGGCAAGAGTCACAGGGCCCGCCAGGGAGCAGGTGTCTGCATAATCAGCCACCCTGAATTTTCCAGCAGTGGCACAAAAGGGCAGCTTGCCATTTACACAACGGTCAAAAGATTAAGGGGGGGAAAAAAAAAAAGAAAAGAAAAAAGCTGCCCAGAGAGTTTATAAATGAGTTTTCTCATTCAGGAGCCCCTTCCAAGTGGGTGACATTTTCCAAAGATGAAATTCACTTCCTTGGGTTGTTGGAGTAGCTGACCAAAGGAGGGAAGGTGGGCACGTTAGGTTTCCTCCATCACAGGCTGAGGCTTTCTCCTGGCGGGGGAGTAGGTGACACCATCAGGGACGACTTTTGAATGAGGATTCTTACATCTTTGCGGAGTGGGGGGAAGGGTGTAGGAATACCCCAAACCCACCTGTGGACTGCCAGCTTTGAAGCCCTACGTGAAAGGGATCAACATTTGATTGCTGGCAGGGTGAGTCTGTCATCTCAGAGGTCCCAGGCGCTATGCTCGACAATGGGGATATGGCAGTGAAGGGAACAGAAACTGCCTTGTTCTTATGGAGCTCACCAGGTTAGTGAGGAGGACAGGTAGCAATCACGTGATCTCACAGATGCATTTCCACCGCATGGCACTGAATCGAAGGTGTCACCAGATTCGCCACTATGTTTTGTTATCACTAAGAACTCAAGGTGACAGTTCAAACCTGACTGTAATAATGCCTCAAAATCTCAGAAATGTTCAAAATGGGGGAAAGTTCGCATCTCAAAAGCAATGAAATATGATACTTCAAACCAAGAAGAGGCCTACGAAGGAAAGAATTAAGATTCTATGAGGGAGAATGACAAATGTGGGCAAGGCGTCACGAGAGGAGACCCCAATTTAGATAGAGCGATGAGATCAGGAAAGGCCTCCGTTTTAAAGCTGAAATGTGAAGGGTGCGGAAGCAGGCACAGGTCTTGCAGGGCCTTGTAGGTCCTGGGAAGCTCTGCATCTTAGTCTGTGTATTAGTCTGCCAGGGATGCCACAGCAAAGTGCCACAGACTGGGTGGCTTAAACAACAGAAGTCCCAGATCGAGGTGTCTGCAGGATTCGCTCCTTCTGGGCCCTGTCTCCTTGGCTTATAGATGGCGGCCAGCTTTCTCGGTCTTTACATGGTCATCCCTCCGTGTGTGTCTATGTCTCAATCTTCTCCTCAGATAGGGATGCCAGTCAGATTGAATTAGAGCTCACCCTGAGGGCCTCAGTTAAACGTAATTACCTCTTTCATGGCCCTATCTCCAAATCCAGTCATGTTCTGAGGTATTGGGGTCTAGGATTTCAACACATGAATTTCGGGGGACACGATTCAGCCCATAACAGTCTCAGAGGACTGGACAACCACTGAAGGGTGTTAAGCGGAGGAAAGATGTGGTCCGATCCAACTTGTTAAAAGATCACACTGGCTTCAGATTGGAAAGGGGTGGGGACAGGAACCCGAGGCCAGCTGAGCTGTCACAGGTGTCCAGACCAGTGATGCGGGTGGCTCAGACCAGGGTGAAGTTGGACAGACTTGAGGAACAACTTGGGGTAGGAGCCACGTGACCTCCTGATCGATTGGACATGCTCCTTGTTTGAGTAACTAGGTAGATGTGCCATTTGTGGGTCCAGGGGAAGCAGAGGACAATGGAGCTTGCAGCTCGGTCTTTGGCCTAGGTCCCTTCCTGAAGGCAGCATTGAACACCCCCTGCAGGTTATGGGAGAAGCAATGAAGTTAAACTCCCAGTCTCATGCTGTCCTTCCCTGGTCTGTCAGTCCCCCATCACCATGACTACCACGAGCCAGGAGGGGCCTTCCAGCTGCAGCCTGCAATACAGTCCAACCCTCACTGCTGAGCTCTGGGATGGTGGGAGTGAGGTGGGTAAGACCAGCCCAGGGGGGTCACGGATAGGTGACGACGGTCCCACCGTCCCAAGGCAGAGGAGCACACATCCTCTTGCTGTAGGAGATAAGACTCCCAGTCTTCAGCCAAGCACACAACAGCAGAGGAAGTCGACGTGGATTCAAGGATTTGGATCTTTGCAGGGCCTGAATTTCTTCAGTCAGCATCTTAATCCAAGGGAAGGATGACCCCCAACTGATGTTCCCATCAATTACCCTCCACAGACCAGAGGAAAATCGTTTACTTTTTGACCAACACCCTTAACGCAAGAATGAAACCAGGGATCATGGTAAGCCTGGGGATTTCATGAGTCCAGCCAAGGTTACCCTCTCGGCCTGTGGAATTTCGGCCTGCGTGCTTTCAGAGCCCACCCAGGGTCTGATGCTCGGGGGCCCTGGTGCTTCTCACAGGCCACGTGGCCACATTCCTGGGCTCCCTCTGAATACCAGCACATCTGGGAAGGAGCCACTATCATTCTTTTCTACCCAGGTCTCTGGAACCCACGAAGTCTGCTTCCTGTCTGTGGGGGTGGGCGTGTCATCCAGAAAGGGGACCTGAGGATGTGGCCTGTGAGCAATGGGACAGCACACCTGAACATGTGGAACATGCAGGAGGGATGTGATGAAAGTGAGCGCCACCTTAAAATGCGGGTCTCCACCCACTCTGCAAATCCATTCAACTAGCACTTTCGGAGTGTCCCTTGCGTCAGTCTCTGCAGCCCTGGTCTGGGGATACACAGTGATTGAGGCCTCGTCCAGACCTTCCGAGAATCTTTGCAGAGCTCCTGTTACACCCTCAGGACAACCCTTTTCACATAATCAACCACAGAACAATGTCTTCTCGTGAAAATGGAGGCTCAGAGGAGGTTCAGCGGCAGGCTGGGACAGGAACGTGCTCCCCTGCTCACGCTGCCCAGCATACAGTCACGTTATCCCCTGTCTAGCTTCACCTGGGCGTCCGGCCCTTACTGAGACCCTGGCTGCAGTTGAGAGGAGGTGGAGGGACCGATACACCAGCCAACAGGCTGAGTAACGCCTGGTATGGGTAGAACTGTGTCCCCCCCAAAAATTATGTTGCAGTCCTAGCCACCAGGCCCTTCGAATGTGACCTTATTTGGAAATAGAGTGGTTGCAGATGTAGTTAAGATGAGGTAATGGAGCCCCGAAACCAACATGGCTCACGCCTTTGTAAGAAAAGGAGAAGACGCACAGGGAGAGCACGACCGACCACAGGACAACGGAGGCGGAGGCTGGGGCAGTGCATCAAGCAGCCGAGGAACCCCCAGGGTGGCTGAAAACCACCAAAAGCTAGAAGAGACGAGGGGGGATTCTCCCTGCGGGTTTCAGAGGGAGCAGTGCCCCAGCGACACATTGATTTTGGACTTCTGCTATGAGCGCTTGTGCTCCAGAGCTGTCAGACCATAAATTTGTTGTTTTAAGCTACCCAGTTGGTGGTGCATTGTTGCAGCTGCCCTAGGAAATGACAGGTCCCCTGTCCCTGGAGCAGAACCCCCACCACCCACCCATACGTACAGGACAGTGGCAGCCACTCCGGCCCACAATCACACTATAAACCCCTCAGAGTCCCTTTCAAACAACCTGGTATCAGCTGGCTCTGGGAGTGAATTTCGTGCCCGAAGTGCCGATGCCAGGGAAGCCGCACCTCTTCCAAACCCTCTGTGAGGGAGAGCTCAGTTCCCACCTGCTCTGGGAACCAGGGGCAAGCTCTCCCTCCCCCGCCCTCCTTTTCACCCGTGCCGGGGAACCGGGCCCCTCAGTGTCCAGAGACCTGTGCCTCCGGTACCTGGCACACGTTGTAATGCTCGAAGAGAGACAGGAAGCCAATGTCGCTGCGGCCAGCGATGCCTTTGAGGAGCGTGACGTCCCCGTTCCCAGAATCCAGCTCCACTACGTCATTGAAAACATTCGACACGGCTCTCCCGGTCAGGAGCAGGTTGACAAGTTCCTGTTGATGAGAGAAAGGGGGAAGGCTTCTCAAGGGGAGATCTGGAGCAAGAAGAAAAGGGTGGAGAAGGAAGGAGAGCGAGGAGGGAGAGAGGCTGAAGTCACAGGGGCTTGTGACTTGTGTTCCCACAGGCCCTCAGGGGAGGCTGCCAGCTCTTCTCATCAGAGCGACTCTAGACACTCATCAAGCTTTATTCCGAGAGCGTTTCTCAAGCACCAACACTGCACAGGACCCTGTCCTAAGGCCTTGGGGGGAGGTGGGGGTGCGTGGTCCTGCCGGAGGGAAACAGGGGCTCCTGGCCTTGGGCACCGGGGTCTACAGTGGGGCACCAGGTGTGCGCCCCCACAATACAGGATGTGACTGGGGCTCGAAAACTGTGTGCACAGAGCACTCTGGGGCCCAGGCGGACATGGGACCACGTGACTCGTCAGAGCTGCTTGGTGGACAAGTGACATTTGGGTGGGTCTTGAAAGAGGGTAATTTTTTAATAACCTTTTTTATTTTGAAATAATTTTAGACTCAAAAGAATTTATAAAAATAGCACAGAGAGTTCCTGTGTACCCTTCACCCGGCTTCCCCCAATGACAACATCTTATATAACCAGAACATTAGCAACACCAGGAAGCTGACAATGGTGCCATGCCCACGGCTCCATCTCAGGTCTCATTCAGATTTCACGGGTGGTGGTGGGGGTCTTCCAAGGGGAAGGGTAGGGAGAGGATAACAGCAGCAGAGAAGCCCCGGTCTGGGTTCCAGCTCTGTCTCTGCCCTCGTTGGCTGCATGGCATCAGACATTCAATGGCCATGTGGCTTCTGCCCTACACCCGACGGGCCCACAAGCCTGCTGACCCCAAAACCAGGAGACGCTGCCCTGGGGTGACTGGAAGGGCCCTTCCTATGCAGAGCATCTAGGGGTCCAACCTCCTGTTAGAAATGGGGAAACTGAGGCTCATAAGCTGCACAGCTGGTAAGTGACAGAGCTGGACTTCCACCCACGTGTTCTGGCTCTCTGTCCGGAGTCCCTTCCCTCTCCGCTCACTTGTTACCATCAATGTACCACCCGGCTGCCCAAAGGTTCAAGATGAAGGGTGGCTGCTCAGTGCCCGCTGCCCACTGAGGAAGGATTCGCCCAGAAGCAGAGCCTGGGCAGGCGCACCTCACTCTCTAACCCGCCTCCTGCCCGGGCCGGCGCACAAGTGGGGGCCGGCAGGCAGGAATCTGCCCCACCGGTTGTGGAAACGCCCTTCGCGGCCCTTTCTCTGGAGAGCACAGTTCACAGAAGTGTTTTCCCCTGAATTGTGAGAGCGATGCCGGGTTAATAAGTCCCTCTGTCAGCACCAAGACCCCTGCCCCAGTGACAGTAAAACAGGCCTCCTCTGATGGCCGCAGAGGGACCCTGCTTGAAAGGAGATATCGAGGGGGCCTCATTGTGTCCTCGCAGAGGAAATGGGAAAGAATTTGGAGGAAATGGCTGCTCTGAGACACTGCACTTCAGGGGCAGCAGCTGCTAGAGAGGCCTGGCCTTTTTCAGACAGGTTCGAGTTTTCCCATCCGGTTTTCTAAGGGACTAGGAAGGCTGCCGCTCCCCACCTGGGGTGTGCCGCAAACTCTCAAAATGGGGGAGAAGGGGCAACAGGCTGCTCCTCGCCCCTAAGCTCACAGTCGCACAGTAGCGAAGCTTGGTGGTCATCTAGTCCCTTGCCATTCAAAGTGTGATTCATGGACCAGCGACATGACCCTCCCTGGGAGCCTGTTAGAAATCCAGAATCTCAGGCCCCAACCTGGACCCACTGAACCTGAGCCTGCTCGTCAACAAGACCCAGGGGAGTTCGTGCACATGTCAAAGTTTAAGAAGCTCTGTTCTAATCCAAATGCCTCACTTTACAAATGAGGGAACCGAGTCTCGGGGGAGAAAAAAAATCACCCCCACTCATTCCGCAGATGAAACAGCCAACACGGCTCAGAACCCAGGCCAAGACTCTGGTCTGGCACCCACTGCACCCCTCCTAAATGCCCGGCCCTGAGCAGCTCCCACAGGGAAGGCAGGCCCCCAGACAGGAAGCTGGACCCCCCAGGTGGCCAGAGAGGCCTGAGTCCTTCTTCTAGGAAGGTGGGCAGCAGCCACCCCATAGTCCCTTGGGTCCTGCCCAAACTGCAGGCCCTGAGCTGGCCCCTGCATGGTGCCCAAGTACGTTTTCAGGGCTGGCACAGTGAGCCAGGATCCTTAGGACAACTGGGTTTTCAGCTGGCCCAGCAGACTAAGCAGCTCTGCCTAGCCCGTCTGTGCTACATGTCGCCCTGTGTGCACTGAGGGTCAGATTTAACTGTGGCCCAGTGGCCACTGTGAGAGGCCTTGTCATGTAGAGAAAGGCTCAGACAGAAGCCAGGTGTAGCATTTGGCTCCCAGTCCTGATGCTCACTGATAGGATCTTGAAAAGATCCTTTCCTTGGTGTCACCAGGTGACTGAGAGGATCTATGGCAAGTAATTGTGCTAAGGGTCCCCTCTGCCCCCCACGAAGCCCCTTCAAGTCTCCTTTGTGAAGATGCAGAGGGAAGGGTTGTTGTAAAGACACTGCCCTGTGTAAACGTTAAGGGAGCCATGACCGTCATCTCCCCAGCTGGCCCTGGGGCCCCAGCCTGTGCCCAGGGCTCTGGGCTACGTAGTGCCTGGGTCTGCCGTCAGCCTCTTTTGCACCCCGTGCGGCACCAAGCACACAGGTCAGGCACAGCCAGCCCTCCAGAAACGGAAGCTACGTTGAGCTCCCTTCCTAAGTCTCCATGAAGGTGAAGCCCAGCACAGGCCACCACACGAAAGCTACTTGCAGAGGGTTGGCATGGCAGAAGAAGAGGGGAAGAGGAAGGGAAAGGAGCACCTGGCTACCCCGGCACCCCCCTGCACTGCATCCCCCTGACCTGCGTGCAATAGCCGTGTGCTCCAATCAGGTGGCTGGTGGGGACGTCGAAGTCCTGGCGGACGCTGGAAAACATGGAGAAAGCAGTGTTAGCACGTCTCTGCCTGACTGAGATGGCCGAGCAAACCTCAACGGGTGACCAGGGGCTCCCTCATGCCCAGCTGAGGCCCAGAAATGCGCTGTGGCAGAAACCTAAGGGACCTCCGCTCTGTGCCCTTGCTTGGGGCGGGAGCCCGGGTCTCTTTGAGTCACCCTCGTTCTAGGTGACAGCCTCCACTCTCTAGCCTCACCAAGCCCTCTGCCGATGCGGCAGAAAGGTCCCTGGGTTTAGAATCCAACACCTTGCATTCCCATCCCAGCTGTCACTAACGGGGGGGCCTGGAACATCCTCTGACATCTCTCTGGGCCTCAGCCTGTGAGTCTGTTAAATGAGACGAATGGTCTAAAGTAATAGCTGTCACCGCCTGGGCACAGACCTTGTGCCAGACCCTGTACACACACTATTCCTAAACACTGAGAGAAAATCCAGGCTGGAAGAAGGACTGATTTGCCCAGCGGGCTCGGTTCGCGGGTGATGGAGCAGGCAGGGGGCCTGACAGTGTCTGGAGGCTGTGATCTCCCCACCCGCAGGTGACCATGCTGGCTCCACCCTCAGAACGGGGCCCCCTAAACGGCACACGTGGAAAGCCCCTTTGCCAAAAGAAATCCTCAAACCAAAAGGAATGGGCTTCTGGGGCTGGGGGCCAGTGTGATTCAGGGTGTCATGTCCGCAGTCGCCCTGTCACATGTGAGGTAAGCACCAGGAGGCAAAACCACACCCCTGAATCTCAAAACCCTCCGACACAGAGAGTCCAATCTAGAGAGCCCACCACCGGGACTTGATTCCTCTCACCGACCCGAAGTCAATCCCTCGGGAGACGAAGCATTATTGTGGAACAGAGCCGTGGACGGACAAACAGGAAAGGAGCGACCGTTTACTGAATACACTCAGAGGACGGCAGGGTCAGCCCTCCAGCCCCCCCAGGAAAGTCAGACTACTACATTTTATAGATGTGGAAAAGGGCTCAGGGAGGTGACAGCAGGGTGGGTGACGTGACAGCCCTTGGGGCACATCGCCCACCCAGACCTGTGTCCCTGGTCTCTGCCTCCATCACCCCCACCCCACGGAGAGCACGGAGAGGCGGCCCAGAGGCAGGAAGGGCTCAGCAATCACGTTTGTTTTTCCTCTTAGTGGAAGGGAAGAGAAACCTGGTCTCAATTTTGTACTTTGAATCTAAGATCTGCCATTAAGTCCACAAACCTAAAACACACACCCTGGTCCCTGTAACCTTCCCAACACGAGTTTAGAAACTCAAGCCCCATGACCTCTGCAGGAGACATGCTTTCTTGTGGTTTTTAATAACCATGGCCAAATGGGGATGGCTTGTGGACCACATGACAAGACGGGCTGGGGTGGGCACTGTGGGGCCCCGCCGAGAACCAGGGAAGCGGGGGTGGGGGTGGGGAGGGGTAGGTTGCCTCAAGAAGGGCCTTGGAGGGTCGCCCATCAGAGACAGCCCAGCGGGCCTGGGAAGGAGTCGGCTACGGGACAAATGGCCAAGGGCCGCAACCGGCCTGCACGAGCTCAGGCAGAAGAATTGATGGAAACGCTCTCCAGCACACGCAGCCATCTTCTGAAGTGAAGAAAATAACCTCAGAGGAGCCCAGGGTGGGCTGATAAGCATCGCTGGCTCGGAGCCGGCCAAAGCTTTCAGAAGCAGTCTGATCTCCATAATCTCACAGCCTCGTGTTCACCCAGCGGGTTTGAGAGCCTGCGTCAGCTGAGAGCAGAGGGACAGGCAGAATGGACAATGGGAGGAAATGGTAATTGCATCCTTAGGTGCAAACACGATGGGAAACTCAGAAGTGGGCTCAGATCTTAAAAGAGAGGAACATCTGTATTTCACGTTAGGGCGTTCGGGAGACGCCAAGGAGAGGCTTATGGCTTAAGAGATTTACAACTTTGGCAAATCTAGCTGCCCAGACCTCCCTCTCGGGGAATTCCCTGGAGAGCTGAGTGTCAGGAGTCCTTGAGCGAAGGACCAACAGCCTGGGCTCTGCCGAGAGAGGAGGCAGTTCACACGGCAGGCCCGGCGCCAAGCCCAAGTTCTGGCCCCAGCTTGCTGTGTGGCTGCGACCCTTGCTGCTCTGGGCCTCAGTCTCCCCTTCTGAGGGGCTTTCACGAGGCGAGTGGGGTTATGAAGCTGAATCATGTCCCCCCAGAACTCATTAGTGGAAGCCCTAGCTCCCAGGACCTGGAAAGGGGTGATTGAGTTAAGTAAGCCCATTAGGATGGGACCTAATTCAACCTGACTGGTGTCCTTTCAAAAAGAGGCAATTTAGACACACAGAGGGACACCAGGAATGTGTGCAGAGAGGCAAGGCCATGTGAGGACACAGCGAGAAGAGGGCCATCTACAGGACAAGGACAGAGGCCTCAGAGGAAACCAGCTCTGCCAACACCTAGATCTTGGACTTCCAGGTTCCAGAATTGAGACCATCAGTTTCCGTTGCTCAAGACACCCAGACTGTGGTGCTTCATTACGGCAGCCCTGGAAAAGCAGTACAAGTGGCCCCCTACACCGTTCTTCAAATGAAATCTCACAGGCAGAAGCCCGTGTATGAGGCATAAAGGCAGAGCTGCTCTGGCTGAGGGCCGTGCCGAGGCTGGACCCATCCTTCTCCCCCCCACCAGCCCCTGCGGCCCCTCTGGGGAGCCCCTAGGTCGCCAAGGTCATGCCGTATCCTGGGAGCAGGGGCGGAATCAGTGGAGGGCTTGCCTGGGCTCTGAAGTTCCTACTTTCTGGGCTTCTGAGCCACAAGCTGTGACAGGCCCTTACCTGAGACTGACAGCCATGTCACTCTAACGAGCCAGTTGTCCTTCCAGTCCCCCCGAGGGCTGGGCAGCGCTGGGCCCCAGGATAATTCTGCACAGTCTGAGGACCCAGGCACCAGGCTGGGTAACAGGAGCCAGGAGGGGCCATGGCCTGATGAAGGCTGCTCCCTGAGGCTGTCCTCCACTTGGACCCCTTCAGGAGCTTGCTGGGATTTGGGATTCCAAGAAGCACGCGTGAGGGGAGCCTGAGTGGACTGCCCAGGTGTGGAAACTCACAAGGAGGGGCTAGGCCCTGGCTGCCCTGCGGCACCTCCTCGGCATGCTGGGAGCGAAGGGCCAGAACCTAGACCGAAGGCCCTGGGTGGCAGCCTGACCTCCGGAATGCCCAGTTCACCCACTGACAGAGGGCGCTCTGCCCAGGATGCCAGCGAGGACTGCTTCTCCCAGCCCTGCCCCCACAGGATGTCCCGGAGACACTGCTGACTCAGAAACAGAACGAAGAGGGTGTCAGGGCGGACAGCATTTCGCAGATGGGCAAACGATGACCAGAGAAAGGACATAACTGGCCCAGTGACAGGTGCCAGCCCAGACTCGGTGCCAGAAACCGGGCCTCGCGCTCTGCTGCCTCTCTGCCCTCCACCACGTGTCTCGGGGGGGGGGCAGAGGTTGTGCCACTGAGCAGCTTACAGTGCCTGAGCCTTGGATCTGCAGTCTCACATCCTTTCAGATAACCATCCATCCCCCTAAAGCCTGTGAGGCCAGGAGGGCAAGAAATGCCATCGCTGTGTTACAGATGGGGAAACTGAGGCCCAGAAAGGAGAAGGGACTTTTGGCTTTGTGGTTATAGAGAGTCAGTGGCCAGGACTGTGTCCCCAGCATCCGTGCCACATAGTGTCTACTGTGGCCTAAAACATGTGACAGTCAAGCAGGAACGAGGCCCCATTCCTGGTCCCCACCCTCGCTGGCTGGGTGCAGCTTGTCCCTTCATCCTAACGCCTACCCCACACGTAGCTGAACATGAATGAATGAATGAATCTGAGCAATTTGTTTGAACCATGAGTCTGGGCATTTTGTACCGAAGTTTCTAAATAGGAAGGAAAATATGTCCAAATGGCCTAGAGACATGGCTCCAGTCTGTGGTCACAGTCATGCCTCTAAAATCAATGTCCATGGGGCGGGTCAGTGACCAGCTCGACCTTGGCCTGGCTGAGTGGCCTCAGGCCAGCCCTTGCCTCTCTCTCTCCCAGTCCCCGTGTCCTCGTTTATAAAACAAGAGGACTGGAGCAGGGGGTCTCCTGGGACCTTCTGGGATGCGAGCGCGTGCACCTGGCCCATGACTGGGATATTGAAAACACCCTGCCCTAAACAGGGAGTAATTAGCCTAGGGGGACTCCAAAAGCCCCCTCCCGTTCACCTGAGTTCTAGGGTGCCAGGTCCTGGGGGCACCACCACACTCCTTGGACAGCTCCTGCCTGCCCCTCCCAGCTCAGCCACCCCCAGAGCCTGCACTGTCCACTGCACTTCCCCACCCTGCAGCAACCTCCAGCAACGGCACTCCTTCGTTTGGTGGGAGGACTCTTCACTTTTGAGGACAACATCAATAGTGCAAAGGGCAGCGATGGAATAACGAAGAGAACCTGGGCTCGGAAGTCAGGAAGCCTTGGATTCAAGTCCAGCTGCGTCCACCTACCAGTCATTCTCCTCTCTGAGCCTCAGTTTCCCCACTTGCAATATGGGTCTGATGATGTCTCCTATTACAGATTGCTGTGGGAACCGAGTGAGGTGCCTTATATAAAGCACTTGACATTTGGTAAATATCACTTCCTTTTTCCTACGATAACAGCAATAATAACAACAACCAAAAAAAACAATGAGAGGTCACGATTCCTGCAACCCCAACCGTTCATATCACGGCCAAGAACCCAGAACAAACAGAGAGCGGTCAAAATGCAGCCACGAGTATCTGAAAAGGACTTGGGGAGAGCGGATATTGACTGTTTTCCCAGGAAGGCCAAGAGGAAGTGGGGAGTAAGTCAGAACACCTGGATGTCAGGCCCCCTCCGCCACCTGCACTGTGTGACCTTCAGCAAATTGCTTTCCATCTCTGGGCCTTGAGTATGTCATCCGGATGGGGACAACAATAAACACCTTGAAGCATTGTTGCAGTAAGCGCCGAGGCCACAGAAAGGC